ACACACACACACACACACACACACACACACACACACGCACAGAGGGTTGGTCATTGGGGAAGTGAGGGCAGAAGTCCTAAAACAAGTGCGTGTTGCTCACCCGACTCTCCATTTCCTATCACAGGTGTTTTTCCAGGTCTGACCACCTGGCCCTTCACATGAAGAGACACCTCTGAAGAGAGCAGAGAGGTGAATCCTGTGGGTTAAAAGGCGTCAAGGCTGAGACCCGGCCTGGGAAGGCGGGATGCGATTCCAGCCAAAGCATGCCATTTTGCACCCTACCCAGCTGCCTCCAGGACCTCTCCTTGGAAGGTCTTTTGAGGGCTCAAAAAGTCATGGAAGAAGCGGCATAGCAGCCATGGCGCATGATGTTTGGGTGATCCTGGACTCGTCACTGGTACCTGACCTTCTGAGTGGCTCCTAAGCCTTTGCCGTGAGCATGTGCACTGAGAATGTTAATGGGTGGGTTGACTGTATGTTGAGGACCTATGACTGGCTGTATGATGAGGCCGACCTTTTATCCTTGTGGTAACGGAACCACAAGAGACAGGACAAAAAGGAGTTTGAATGTTTTGTGTGTGAGGAGTATACCTTGAGATGCGATGACCACCAATCATTTCCTGGGGGGAGGGTTATCTGCACCTTAGAAAAACAACACAAAAAAAACTACAAAATAAAAAACCCAAAAAAAAAAAAAATGGAAAAAAAAAAAAAAAGAAGGAAAACTATGGAGGGCGGGGGTGGGCAGTCAGGACCCCTGAGTGTTGAGTGGGTGTGGGGAGGGGAAGCCCCTCTCCCGTGTGCGAGGAGCTTCCGGTGTCTGGTGCAGCTATTGAACGTGCAATGTGTCTAGTAGCTTGTCTTACTGGCTACAGAGCTCACTTGTAACCCATTGTATAAGCTGTGTATTTACAGATATAACACAATTATAACTTTTCCTTATCATACAAAAATAATGCATGGTTCTGGGGAACTTTATGCTTTTCCATTGTTAAATCAGGACAGCAGTTTTAATTCCAGTTATTGAGCAGTAAGGTACAATTTCTCCAGCAGGGTGATTCCTAGCCATCTTGGCCTGGCAATACACGATGTTGTCGTCACCCCCTCCCCCTCCCCCCTTCAATTTTGTACTACTGCCCTTCCAGAAAGGTGTTGTGCAGCCAAGAATTATTTTTTACAGGATTGTGAGTTTGAATTACATTTTTGGAGAAGTTCATGATACCCTTTGAAGAAATCGGGACACATGGCGGGGCGTCAAACAGCCAGGGTTGGGAATTGCTGGTCTAATGTTACATTAGATAAAGAACCTAAAGTTTTTCTCAATTGGGTGGATGGAACCACTAAAGCTTAGAAACTGTTTTTTCTCATGCAGCTAAGTTTCTCTTATTTATGCCTTGAGGACTAATTTCTGGTTTTCTAGCTGTTAATGCACTGTTGACCTTAATAATGGTGCCTTATGCAAGTGACCCCTTTATACCGGGGGTCTCATACAGGGGTTTGGGTGATGCATGCTTTATTCAGGCTCTCTTTTCACCTGGCATTGTACTGTATCAATGGATAATCCAGAAAAATCTAAAGGTCTCTTTAAGGTCCTCTTCACAAAGACAGACAGAGAGGTGAAAACTCCCTTAATGTGTCACTATATTTACCGAATATTGTAGATGACTTGACTGTCAATGTTAAATGGAGAACACATCATAATGGAAAAATCAGACCAACTCTGTCACCGTGAGACTGTCATGTAGACCTTGCACAACAATTGTATAGATAACACACCTGGCTGTATTTAATATGTAACATTTTCACACATATTAAAAATACAGAAGTAGAAAAAACAAAACAAAACAACGTTAATGTATTTGCTTCAAAGGCACAAGTTTCACATATCTATCTAGCTCTATCTGTTGGTAATACAGAACGTATACTACTTTTTTTTAAAAAGTGGGTGGAATTCTTGTGTATGTATATTTGTGTGTATAGTATGTGTATGTGTGTATATATATAAATATATATATAGATAATATATAAATATTTTTTTTAAGGAGAAACTAGAATGTTTAGCTAGAAAATTCCACAGCCTGTGAAAGAAATATTTCAATGGCCATAAAGGAGGTTAAAAAAATGAAAAAACAAAAACATAATCTAATTTTTATAGAAGCTTTACTTTTAATTTATTGATTTGCTAATGATGTTCTTAGCTTTGAATCTATTCCGGACTGATGACTCTGGTGATGTCGCCCTGGGCATGTCTGGAAGAGATCACCTTTGGCCATTACAAGCCGGCCTGTACAGAGTACCTGCGTACTAGCTGGACTCGAAACACACGGAGGTTTTCATTTTGAATCTCAGCCTTATTAGAAGATCTAACATTAACAGTAAGCTAGTTACAGGGACTCTTTTTTTAGAACACTTTTTATGCAGATGAAGCTATTTTTTCCCCCCAGTTTTTCAAATGAGTAATTTCCTCAAATTGGCATACTGCGGCATGGCATGGGCAGCTGATATTCCACCCAGCTGTTGTTTTGTGGGTGTGGATCTTTTCTTGATATATATATAAAATATATATAAAATATGGGTATATATATATGCACATATATGTGTGTGTGTATATACATATACATATATATACATATGAGTCTAGCTGTGCTGGTATCTTATTTGATCTTCCTGAAAATGAGCAATGATTAAAGCTCACAAGACTGGTTTTTTTAATCTGGTCCAATGAATATATTTACCTAATTAACTCATTCCATTTTCCTGTGGGGGGAAATGTGCTTTCCTTTTGGCAATTCAAAATCCAGGCCTTTGATTTGCTGGGTTTTGGAAAACTCCTTTTTTGGCCATGCTGTGTGCTTAGCCATAACAATTCCATTGAGCAAGAAGGTAAACAAAAGACAAAAAGCTTGCACTGGCTTGTCTCACTTACGAAATACCATCAGAGTTGTTGGAATGGGTGGGGCTGGGTGCCATGGGTGTCAGTCCTGTAATTTTCATAATAAGCAAGTACATAAAGAAGTACATTCTGTTCAGGTGATAACTGAGCCTCAATCAAGCAGAAACTTTTTGCTTGATATTAAAAAAAAATTTCTATTAGTGAAATTTCTTTTTTTTCCCCTTTCCTTTTGTTTGTTTGGGTTTTTTTTTAAAACTCCCTGTTATCTAAAGAATCTTTGTAAGATTTTTGTAAAATTTTGTTTTACAAGATTTTATTTGAAATTGTTTTTTGCAAGATTGTTATATTTCTGTATGAATGTATTTTTTATTGGAATAACATAAAAGAATTCTTATCAGCATTTTGAGTCTGGTTGCTTTTTTTTTTGGTGGTGGTGGTGGTGGTGGCAGTGTTCTCAGGGGAGGGTGAAACAAATTCTTGCTGTATTAATCACTCGGGCTTCCTATTTGGGAAATCTCCATTGTACAACAGTGAAAACCATGGGTCTATCTCAAATCTCTCTTCCTCTCAACTGAAACCCCAAGCCCAGTTCTGGGATCCCAAGTAAAGTAGGCACCTGCCATGGCTCTCAGCAAGATGCATTGAATGCACTTCTCCAAAGATGGACAAAAACAACAGCCAGGCTTTGGGCCACAGGAGGAAAACACTTGCTGTCTGTTATTGTCCTATCACTCATACCAGAGAAATATATCAGAGGCGTCCACACAGTGAGAAAACTCAAACGCATCCCTTTCACTAGGACTCAGAGAGCACGTGTTTCAGCCGCCTTGTTCCTGTTCAGTAAGCACAGCAGGGCTTGTCTGCAGCAGCTGGCCACACACACCTTCCTGAAGATAGCAAGGGGTGTGGTGGAGACAATGGAGGAGCGAAGCCAGACTTGGATCCTGTTCCCACGATCTTCCCAAACCCAGGGTGCCTCAGCCTTTACTGGCAAGCCCAGTCAAAGCAGCAAGCAAGAGATCTTTTTTTTTTTTTAAATCCAAAGATGATTTCATATCTTTCTTGTTTTGTGTTGTTTCCTTTAAGCTAAGTGAGGCTATAAAATGGAGGGTTTGAAAACAAAGTGAACCACTTTTTGATTTTTGAGAAAACTGATGAGTAGCTTTTTAGATCTTAGCCTCCGTTTTAATTCACAGTGTGGATTACTGGGAATTGGTCCATCTCTCCATTAGAAGTCCATTTTCAGTTTATACTCAGCTAAGTAGTGATCGGGAACAAACAATATGTGCTTTCTAGAAGCAGGGTGTTTGTGGGACAAGAAAAATGCATGTGGGAATGAGGATTACCAGTGTTCCTAGTTTTCCTGCAAAGGGCATTTCATTCCTTGAAATAACAGTGCCCACAACTGTTCTCCATGGTAGGGTTCACAGTTATCCCCATTTGTTGACTTTATGGCGCCTGTATTAGTTACTTTTAATTTTATACTCATGGAGGGATATCTTAGAGGCATCCAAAAGTAGAGGCTTTAAGTAATTTTCTTTCTTGAATTAGTATATATGTATATAGATTTCAGCAATTTGGAAGGTGTGGTGGGGCAGGGTGTAGGAAGCAGATTAAGTTTTTGCCAGGATTCACGGATAAATTGTGTTCCAAAACACATCAGGATGACTAATGGTTGAATTGTCCTGACTGTACTGTCTAAATAAAGGGTGGATAAATGCATGCTTGGCTACTATTAAGACTTGACCACTTTGTCATGTGAGGATTATGCTGACTAGCTAAGTTATGGTCAGATAAGGTCGTTAGGAGGACTGTTATGCCAGGGATATACTGCAAACCAATGATAGGTAATTGAAGTATAAGAAGTTTTCATCTGTGACGCCCATTTTTGGAAACGTAGCTGAAAGGAAGGAAATGTTCTAGTCCTAACTAGCTGTGTGATTCTGGACAATCTGCTTAGCTGCACTGGGCCTCAATTTTCTTCTTGCTGAAATAGTTTGGGCTAAGTCACATGTCTCCAGCATTTTATATAGCACTGGAATTCTGTGGTCTGCGCAGAGAGGACTTGAAATTATACGTTCCCCATCTTCCAAATGTACCAACTCAGACCTAGAAAGCCTTCTCTGGTGTTCCAGCAGAAAGTCTTGTTGAAGGTAATTTATGCCAACTTAGAATGGAAAACAAAGTTTTCCACGTGCCCTCTTCCCCTTTAATTATAGTTAAGTAATTCAGGCCTTGGGTTCTCCATAGCAAACCAAGTCCTTATTTTGGGTTTTAGTGGTGGTTGGTTGTTTTTTAATAAATTAATTCTTTCAGAAGTGCTCTCAGTCATCGTGGATTCGAGGTCTCCCAAGAATCCCAAATTCTACCACTCTCAATCTGTATGTAATTCAAAGGCGACCTTGGTGTATTCAAAGGACAAAGCAAGCAAGACACCGAGTCAAGTATCTTCCCTTGATAGATCTTAGTTGCTGTAAAGAAAACAGCTTTGTGGCAGTACTATCTTCAAACAAGCCTCCTCCCCAAATGGAATTATTCCCTCCATAAATGTGAGGACAAAGAGGAGAGGAGAGTATCTTCTACCTCATATGCTTTAGACAAGAATTCTGTCGACAGCTGAACTATGGAATGTTATGATCATCTGTAAGAGCGCCCCATAAATTGATTTATACCCCCCCAAAATTCGATAAGCAATATATAAGCCTGTTTTATTTCCCACAACGCTGCACACAGTGGGTCTTACTTACACCCAATTTGCAGGTGAGGAAATGGAGACTTCAGAGGTTGA